AAAACCCCAAACTCAAACAACATCAAAATGTTATTTGGACATCTCATTTTCTGAGGATGGATACTCTTCAGTATTAATAAGGCAAAGAATGATTTTGATAAAGAATTTCTCATTTGATCACTGTACGTCCTCATTTAAGAGTGAAGGAATGAAATTTAACATCAAATGTAATGGGGAACATTTTAATAGCTCTATTTAGCTGTGTATGAGGAAGATGATTAAACAACTTTTGGGTTGCTGACTTGTGCAGTATTTCCTGTATCATCATCAGTTCTATGCCTACCTCTAAGGGGGCTGTTTGTATACATGCGGGGTTCTGTTTGCTAGTGAATCAAATGGGAGACTGATTTAATTAAACACTAATCAGTGAAGCACTTCATGAATTTTGACTGGTATCATGGACCTATAATCTTGTCATATCTAGTTTAATGCTAATTTGCTTCTTTCTCTAGTTGTAATGCTTAATGGTATGTTTGTACCAGATAAGAAATTAGTTTTGCTGATTGCATGTTTAACTCTGGGTCAGGAAAATGAGGTCAATAAGGGAAAAACCTCATTTTCAGCAGTTTTTTTAGTGGAGATTACCAGCAGTGATGCTCATCAGTAAAGGGGGCATTAAACATTTGTGCAAGTGAACTTTCTCTCTATTTCTCTTGGAATAGAGCAGAGAAATCCAAGAGGAAGGAAATTCTCCTGTCCTTCTTAGTGAGTATTAGATTGGAGCAAGATACACTCTTTTTTTTTTAACTTTCCCCCCCCCCCCCAGCTTATCTTTACTAATTCAAGCAAAAAAATTATTCCTAAACTTGTTCATTTTTCAAGAACATCTCAAGGCAAAAGAGTTCCCAAATTACTTTTGATTAAATTGTTTTGATGTCCTTATTATTGCTGCTGCCTTAATGTAAAGCAAAATAGCAATATACAAGTGCAGAGAGGGGAGGAAGAGAAGGAATTTGAGGCCCAGCCTGTTGTGACAGGAGTCAGACAGGCGGAGAATGGAAGAGGGCACCTGGAAGAACTGCAAGGGGATCTGGGGTTTTCCAGATACGAAGATATATAATAACTTCTAGAAGGTAATTTGGAAGCTGGGGAGCTTGCAGTGCTTCAGTGGGTGGGAATTTTCATAAACTTGAAAATAGAAACCGTTCTCTTCAGTTTGGAATCCCTTATATAAGGATTTTAGTTCTTTATTCCATACTGCTATAGCTTGGTGCTAATAAAATCACAAGGATGAAACTCATGCTGTAGTCAATCCCAAGAGAGGTAGGCTTTCAGGTCTATAGAGGATTCAAGTGTGAGGCACTCCTCCATTTTTTTAGTTGGTGGTTTGTTTGTTTTGCTGTTTTTTTTTTTTACATAGGTCATGATACTCTCAAGAATTTGCACTGGCTAAGTCCTTTTTAGGCTTTGTTTGCAAGTGAAGGAGCTAATATGGCGTACAGACAAGTAATGAGAGCCTGTCTGATGCCTTGCATTCATGAATAAACAGGCAGGAATTCTTGTGCAATTGTGTGGTCTTTAGCCCTATTCCCTATAACCCTTAAAAGCAAGCCCACTGTTGGCTTTATTCCAGTGTCGTAGAAACAGCGTGTTTGCTACTTCATGCTTTTTTGTGTTTCACTTAAATAATAACCTTGGGGAAGATGTAGCAATTCAGTTTTGTAGCTATTGGCATTTTTTATTTGTCAGCTATGCTCTCCAGTAACCTTCTTGAAAATATGATCAAGATTTTGCAATCATTCTTGCTTCCTCTCTTGCTGTCTGACAAAGATAGGCTGTCGTATGTGAGCAGTATGAGAAGAAACCTTACCATGGATTGCTAGACAATATAGTACTGAAGAGATATGGAGTATAACTTGGTACTCTGCGGTTTTTCTTATAAGCCTTTCTACTTGTTGTTTTTAATTAATACTTTATTAATGTTGACTGAGAAAGTGGATGATTCTTTGATCCTAGTGCTGTTACTAGCCCATGTTCTCTCAAGTAAAAAGGCTTTTTCAGACTTAATAGGAGTGACAAAAGGAAGATGGAGACTTGTCTTGGAAAGCCAAATGCGTTAATCAGCAAATGCAAGAGACCAGTGCTAGCCTTTGTCAGTCTTAATAGTGAAGTGATTGATTTATCAACTTTCACAATGTCTATTTTAAGGTATTTATGTTTTATTGTAGAATCATAGAATAGTTTGGGTGGGAAGGGACCTTTAAAGGTCATCTAGTGCACCCCCCTTGCAGGGAGCAGGGACATCTTCAACTAGATCAGGTTGCTCAGAGCCCCATCCAACCTCACCTTGAATGTTTCCAGGGATGGGGCCCCTACCACTATCTCAGGGCAACCTGTTCCAGTGTTTCACCACTCTCACCATAAAATATTTCTTCCTTATACCTAGTCTGAATCGGCTCTCTTTCAGTTTAAAACTGTCACCCCTTGTCTTATCGCTACACTCCCTGATAGTCCCTCCCCACCTTTCCTGTAGGCCCCCTTTGAGTACTGAAGGGCTGCAACAAGGTCTCCCCAAAGCCTTCTCTTCTCAAGTATGAACAAACCCAACTGTCTTATCTTTTCTTCATAGCAGAGGTGCTCCATTCCTCTGATCATCTTTATGGCTCTCCTCTGGACCCATTCTAACAGGTCCATGTCTTTCCTGTGCTGAGGACCCCAGAACTGAGCACAGCACACTCACCAGAGCAGAGCTGAGGGGCAGAATCACCTCCCTTGACCTGCTGGCCACACTTCCCTTGATGCAGCCCGGGATACAGTTTGCCTTCTGGGCTGCGAGCACACATTGTTGGCTTACGTCGGCAGTAGAGAGAGCCTTTTTTCTGTCAAGGTAGTTGCCTGATTAAAAAAGCGTTTGAAAGACTTGCGTCTTACTGATGATAATCACAGTCAGTGATTGACTCATGATCCAGCTGAGATTTCTTGGAGCTCCCCTGCAGTTGCTGAAATTTATGAAGCCTCTGTTAGGCTCCTGGTATCAGACTGGGCTTCCTCTGTGGAAGATCTGTAGGGACACGATAGATAGTGGTAGAGCTGGATGCTTTCTAACTGTTCCAAGTTGAATGGCAACCTGTATTTGGATGCCGGACTTCGTAGATAAACTCTGAGGGTGTGCTTTCGTTATGTATTTGATGGCTCATGATGAGATTTTCCTTCACAGAATTTGTCAAGTCTCTAAAATGCAAATAGTCATTCTTCGTCTGAGTTAGTAATGTGTGATTAACTACTACAGCTATCATAGAAGTTTCATTGAAATAAACTGAAAGCGCAGGGCCTGGAGAATATAATCTACATATCATCCTGCTGGTCCTTACAACGTGAGAGTTATTACTGGCACAACTTCTTCCAGAGCTGCTAGAAATGCTGTGTTCTCCCAGGTTTTACACAAATGCAGCAGGAGAATACTGTCACAGTGGTCTGTCATCTAACAGGTAGTAAGAGTTTTTGCCTTTTTGGAAGCGTCTGCGTCCTGGCTTTTAGCATGTAGCTTTGAATTCATTTGCAAATAGAAGTATATTTCACAAGAGTACTGTGAACACTCTTCTGAATAGATTCAGTTCTTCAGGATCTTGGATCATGAAAGGAAGGTACAGTCCAAGGTCTACCAGTGACTTAATTTTCAAGGGAAGAGAATGTCCTGCTGTAACCTTATCTCCAAGGGAAGGTTCCAAGTCCTCTGCTGCAGAGCCGTATTTGGGTGTTTTATGGTGCCTCTGACATAATTATCCCAAAAAACCTAAAGGTATATGAGGATTTAGCTGACTCCTGCTTTTTCAAGGTTATTCTGGTGCTGGGACTATCTGAATGTGTTAGTAAAGACTCTGGGAACTGTCTGTTCCCTGAACATGGGAGGATGGGAGCATCTGTCTTCTAAATGTCACTATCTTGGACATTACGTGCCGGCCTGTATAGAAAGTTTATTACTTCCCCGTGAAGGACGTCTTTGCCAGCAGCAGGAAGTGATACGAGCTTTATATATAAAATGGGCTGGTTTCTCAGCTCAAGCACATGGCCAAATCACACTCCTTTGCAACTACAGTCCATTATGGTTTGATTTATTTGCCTGGATTGAAAGTATAATTACTGTAAATTATTTCATTGTATTTTCTGTTCTGGTCACCCATTTGTTTTGCACCTCAGTTATTACTCTGTTAGTAGTCTTGCATAATGAACCAAAATATTTTCAAAAGCTCTGAATGAAAATGCCCAGTTCCTGTTTGATAGATGTTAGTTGTGCAAAACACTCGTAGTCAAATATTCTGCAACCTGAAAGTAAATTGACTATATGTTTGAAGAGCTTCTCCTTTTAAGTGGCTTAAAATGAACTGTAATAATAAGTGCTGTGGTCTCACTCATATGCACTGTCACTTGCATCATATATTCTGCTGTGAATGGTTTTTATGCAGTGTACACCTTATGTGAGCTAAATTTGGTCTGCAGCATTAGCCTTACAACTATGGAGCAACTGTTAAATACACAAATACAAAAATAAAATCCTCCTGGACATGTGCAGAAAAATAAAAATGAAGATATTTGGTATTAAGCAGGCTGTAAGGTTGTAGTTTTGTGTGGGTTTTTTTTTTTTATTTTCTTGGCTTTACTGAAAATTGAATTCTGTATGTCGAGTTCCTCTGAGCCACTTGTTAAGAAGAAAGCAAAAAAGTACTGAAATCCTGCCACCAGAGGGCCTTTCTTACAGGGTCTTTGAAGAAATGCTTCTGGGAAAGAATGTGAGCAATCTTTGAACTATCAGTGGGGATTAGATGTGGCCTGAATGCATGTCTTTGTGATACTCTGAAAGACATTTTGAGTGTGTTAACTTAGTTCTTGCCTACCCCTTTAGTCATATTTTATAAGCGTTATCTGTATGCACTGGAAGTGCTGCTTGGGGTTCAGTATTGGTATGAAAGCATTACTACTGCAGAGACAGATGGATAGGTACCTAAAATGTTGTCAAAATACAGAAAACTTACACAATTGTGTTTTGGGGCTTTTTTTTGCAGTTACCTTGTAGAAGGAGACGCTAAAGAAGAAATCTTGCAGCCTCCAGAGCCTCAGCCAGTACCACCAATCTTAACGCCATCTCCCCCATCAGCTTATCCAACAGTCACTACTGTGTGGCAGGACAACGATAGATACCACCCAAAGCCAGTTTTGCACATGGTTTCGTCCGAGCATTCAACAGACCTCAATGAGAATTATAATAAGTCAACAGAACATTCAGGGAAGAATGAACCCAGTGAACGTGCAGAGAAAAGGCTGGAGCGCAACTTAAGTTTTGAGATCAAGAAGGTACCTCTTCAGGAGGGACCACGAAGCTTTGATGGGAACTCCCTGTTGAACAGGGGACATGCAATTAAAGTTAAGCCTGTGTCATCCTGTGCACTTGATAAGAGCTTTAGGCCACAGGAACAGATTTCAGGGGATTCATTTGTAGATGCTTCTCAAAACTCATGTATGGAATGCAGCGTGCCACCGTCTAACACAGCCTTAATACCTTCACCAGAAAGTCTGCAGAGTCAGCAGGTTTCTGATACTCCACCGAGACCAGATCGTCTGCCTCTGACAGAAAAGGGACATGCCACGTGGGCGCTGCATGGGCCTGAAAATGCACTGCGTACGTCAGTGTCTGAAGACACGTCTTCAGACATCTTGTGTCATGGTGTTAAAACTCTCAGTCTGGTATCAAACACCACAGTTGAACATCCTTCCAGTGATCATGTCGATCATACTACTATTTCTGTTCGAGCACCCCTCTGTTTTACTAATCCTCTTCATTCAGACGATTCGGACACAGATGACATGAACTTTGACGGCGCCATGAGCAAAAGTGCATCTAATGTTTCAACCGCAAGTGCCACAGTTTCTGCTGCCACTAATACTGAAAACATTTCTGCCAGAAAAGTATTGCCAATGTCTATTGCTAGGCAAGATTTAACAGCTGTAACATGTTCTGAAGATGGCAAAGGTAGGTTTCATTGTGGTTCAGAAGCACTACTCTTTAATCTGGTTGCATCTGTAGAGTTGGACAACATATGTTTCTTTACAGTGCAGTTTAAGTGTAAATTTCAACGGTGCAGTATAGTAGCTTCAAAAGGGTTACAACTCTTTTCCTTCCACTTCTCAGTTTGCCTGTGAGCTGTGTCTGTTACAAGGTACTACAGACGTTATTAAGCTGCTTCAGAAGCTTTATTGTGACGTATGAAGGCATTCATAAATGTAGGTTTCTGTGTTATTGGTTGGCGCGCTTTTTTCTCCATGTCAGATTTCATGGAGTGTCTACAGTAACGGCAGTTTTGGGTAGTTACAGTATTTTAAACAGGCTTGTCCGGACACATCAGATTCATGCTCACTGGTTGATGTGCTGGTCCTAAAAATGATACAGTGAAAGAAGTTACACCTACAGTCTTTGAAGTTGCTCCTGATTTGGCTTCTGCATTTTAATAGCGTTGTAAATATTTAGCCCTGCTTTCTTCCCTTTCTGTACATGGCCAGGGGAGACAAAATAATGTTGCTGTTCACCTAAAAATCCAATTTCTGCTTTAGTAGTGCTTTGAAAATTATTTGGTCGCTCTTAATCTTTTACTGCTTTTTGGAATCTTTTTGAGCAAGGAAAGTCTGTAAGGCTGCTTTTGCAAAAAGTTTATTGAAGGCAAAAGGGTCCTAAAAGGTGCAGATTCAGGTTTGTCAGGCTGGCGCGCTTAGATCAGGTGCTTTGTGCACTAAGTTTTCACCAAAAGTTGTATATTCAGAAACGTGAACTATTTTGCAGCTTTAAAAACAATTTGTATCTATAGACTTCGTGATATTATGTAGGCGCGCGAAACAGTAGTTGCTCATGTGTATGTTGTTAACCCTGCGACGCTTTAAACATGCTCTGCATAGCAGCCAAAGCCCTTTGTCATAGGTACTTCAGTGTTCATACCAAGCAATCCTCTTGGATTTGTTTTTGGTAGATTTGCATGCTGTAGTATTTTTTCCAACGCTGCTTTTAGCCAGGCTTTTTTCCTTCTTTCCCAGGGCAGTCATTATTTATCACTGTTTGAAAATCGTTACCTCTCTACACATCTCTTTATGTAGATGCTGTAAGAACATGCATATAAATAAGTGATATGTCATAAATATGATAAAAAAAATGGGAGAAATGTCACTCAATAATTTGTTTAATGTACCTGCATATCTGAAACTTCCTAAAATAACAGTACAGCCTTTGTGCTGCTGGTATGTTGCTGATTTCACAGGAATGGCTTAAATTTTTTAATACTCTTTATAATTTATCTCTTGTCAAGGGTGTATCTGTTCCCTTTTGCACGATGGTGAACACTTTCCATTTTATATTCAGCTTGCAGGTCTTGTAATCCATCTCAGACTCAATGTAGGGTTAGATCGCTTTGCACCGGTGATCCTAAACCATGTTTTACAGCAGCTTTTTCATTTCCATACTTGTTCAGGACTCTTCTGTCTGAAGCTGAAGATGTGGGTATGATCATCCGTGAAGCTTGCCTGTAAACTTCCTAGCACCTAGTTGCTTAACCATAACTGGTGGTGTGCATGATCTTACCACATAATTAAATCCTTTTTGTTTAATTCAAATTAAGTGAAAAGTAGTTGTACCCTGAGGTTAAAAAAAAGAAACAAAACAAAACAGAAACCCAGCAACAACCCCATAACAATAACAAAAACCCCAACCAAAACAAATCCCAAAACCCTCACTGTCAGTTGGGGCATACTCCATAGTGACTTTTTTTGCTGATTTTATAGAGACTATTTCAATAAATGAGGGTTTTCTTATACTGTTTAGTAAACACGGGATGGAACAGGTGTCAGATGAGTCACTTTGAACACAGTGGCTTGTCAAACGTGATGACGTTCGTGTCCCTGCTGCTGGCATGTTGGCAGGGCAAGCTTCATGGCTTCATTAGTTGAAATGTGTCTTCGTCTTTTTATAGATCCTGTGTGGAATACAGTTGTCAGATGAGACTTCTTGTGGCAGCAGCTACTTTGATGTGTTTTAAACCTTTAATTTCTAATCTGAATTCCTTATTAGGCCAGAGCGGGGCTTTTACTGCCAGAACAGCTTGTGTCAGTACACGCCTGAGAGGCGAGAGGGAACAGACTGGGGACAGGATGTGTTACTGGCACCAACAGTAGCCGCCTCCTCTGGCTCCTATTTACCCTTCTGGCTAGTAAACTTTGCACTAGACTGTTGAACTAGTTCATATCGGTGGTGTGGGAGCCAGCCTGGGGGGGCCCCGAGATGGACTTGGGAAGCAAAACTGAGACTTGGGGCTTTAGAGCAGTGGTTGATGTGGACCTTCCCTGGAGCTCGCTGTTGCACAACGCAGTCCTGAAAAGCCATGTGGCTTAATGTCCTTGCACCGTGCAGCCCAGCTGTGCTGTGTCGACTTTGGAAGTGCGGATGGTTAGAGCTGCTGAGAAACAATAAAACCCACTGCTCAGCAGCAGTAAGGTACTGTCTTCAGCACAGCTGAAGAGCTCATGCATATTTTCAATGTGCTGCTTACCCTGGTTCGGGAGCTTCATCAGTGGGTCAGCTGGTAGGCACCAACTGCGTATAGTCACCGGTATCTGCAGAAGAGTTTAAGAAGCCAGTGTGGTGTAACGGGCTTCACTCACTTGCAGTGGCTGCAAGTAGACGTGTAATGAACTGCAATTAAACTCCAGTAACTACTATGGTTACAGTTCTTGGCAAGTCACTTGTTCAAGAAGCAAATGGTACTGCTCCAGTGCAGACTGTTAATTCTGCTCATCTTCTGTTTCTGAAAGAATGAAAGAATAGTATTTGTTGGAGTTGCTGAGGTTTTTTTTTTTCTCCACATTATTTAGACTGAAACTGTATTTTACTTTTCTTTCTCTCATAACACATAAACTGATCCTACCTCCTTAATGTGAAGATAATGTTGTTCACATGAAGTTGCTCCCAAGGCGTTAGTATGGTAAACCAAAATAGTTTATAATATTTAGAACAAATTTTCCTTTTGCTTTAAATTTAATATTAAGTTTAGAATGATCTCACATATCAAAACATAGACTTTGAAAAATCTAGGAGGAAAATTTAAGTATGTCTTTTAACTTCTCTAAATGTCATATTTGATTTAGATGCTGATACCAGTGAAGAATCCTCTCCCCCACTTCCAGAAAGAACACCAGAATCATTTGTATTAGCAAGTGAACAGAGTGAGTTCTTAATGTTTTGTGATAATTTGGGATAAAATGTGAAATGCATTTCAGTATTGTATTTGAGTGCCCCTGCTTTTTGGTTAATCCTTAAGTGTTGGAGCAAATTGTAAAACGGAATGAGATCTAGCATGTGTAATGGCTTGGTTTGTGGTTTAACTTTCACAAGCCCTTGAACACAGTGAAATTATTTCTCATTTTCTGACTAAGCATGCTGTTATGTGATATTTAAGTATATTGGAGACTACAATATTGATTTTAGTGAAGCTGGTTTTCAGTCTGAAGGGTTTGGAAATGCAGTACAGTTAGGGGATTCCCCAGCTATTTTAGTTTCCTACTGCCCCCAGGTAGGGTTTGGGAAAACACATGAACAGTGCTTATCTCATTCTTCTTTCTTGGCCAAAGGAAAGATGATGACATTTCATAATACACTGTATCAAGTGAACAAGCCCAGTTTATTTAAGCTTAACATATTTACTCTTTGCCTGTTTCAAAAGAGTAACTGAAAAAGAAAACTGACAGAAATGATGTGCTTATGTTGTCAGATTTCATTCATCGAGCTAGTAAATGCAGAATACCAAAAAGATTAATTGAAATGAAGTGATAAATTAGGTTGATTTTGGCATCTTCCAAAAACCTTAGTGTGATGTAGTTATTTACGAGGCTTTTGTTTAGTGTTGCTTTGTGAAACTGTCAAAAAATTTTGGCCAAAATAGTTAATATAGATATTTTCACCATAAAAAGGTGGAAGTTGTGTAAATATGTCCCTTGAGCATCATAAGCATAGGTGGTTCAGAGTCAAAGTGATCCTTTCTTTGGATATTACGGACTTTCTTCTCTTCTTTGAGAACAGAAGAAACAAAGCTTTTTTTCTTTAAAAAAAAAAAAAAAATCTTTGAGATTCAAATCTCCAAAAATAATTCAATTTTGACTGTGTTTTTGCATGATAGCAGGTTTGGCTGTCCTTACTTGTGTGTTTTCTTTACCTAGTATGTATTTTCAGATCTGCTACTATTGCACAGCTGATGTAATAAAATTTTAAAAACATCATTGAAAAAGAAGCCAATTCTCCTATTGGTTAGGAACTTCCAAATGAAGGAAATGAACATCCGCAATGCAAGCACGCTGCGGTCTTGTGTTTTGAGTTACGTTGTGGAGTTGTCCCTTATCTTGAATGCTCTTCATGTAAAGAGAGATTCATGTTTTTACAAGCGTTTAATTTTTTAAAATTGCTTTATAGCACATCTCTGATGCTGTGTTCTAGTACCTCACCATGGAGAGAACTCACGTGTGTTGCTTGATTTCATTTTCCCTAGGCACACCCTTGCCGAAGCCAGTTATGATTGCGCAGTCTGAGTGGAGCATATTGCGTGATCAGCATCCCCCTGACCAGGCGGTCTCTACAGTAAGTATAGGCGACAAGTCTGTACTAACCAGTTATTTCTAGTTCGGTTGGGAGCTACAACAAAAAGCAAAATACGTACTTGTGACAGGTTACAGCTGTTGATCACCTACAACTAGCCAGTTTTCCTCTGCCTGAGCTGCTGAACTGGTGCGATGAGAGCACGCTTTCTTTCCGAGAAAATTGTCTGGTTTTCGAAGTTCAGCAATACTTTTAAAAGGTCATCCTTAATATACCTTAAATTATGGCCTCAAGAGCGTGAATATGCTGTTTTTACGGAGCTTGCTGTCTGCCCTTAATCGATCATAGGCTAATTCAAGCTGGAGGAGAATTGCAGTTTCTCGTCTAACCTGCTGCAGGAAGCAGGGACTCTGACTGGGCTGCTCAGGGCTTTATCCAGTTGGGTCTTGAAAACCCCTAGAGATGGAGGCTTTATATTCTCTGTGGGCAACCTGTTTCACTGCCTGATAAAGTTTGTCCTTACGTCCGTATTTATTTTAAACAAACTTTTCTGCCAATCAAATTGCACTTTTCACACCAGTCTACTAGTTGCTCAAAGTCATCCGGCGTAAACAGCTGGCAGAACGTCAGAAGCGTCTAAATCCTCTTTACATTCATGCCTTTGATGTGGTTTAGTGCTGGACTTGGCAGTGCTACGTTAACGACTGGACTCGATCTTAAAGGTCTTTTCTAACCTAAACGATTCTGGGATTCTTTTCTTCATGCCCCCCCAATGCACTTTTACAGCCGCCTTGACACACCACTTAAAAATGTGACAAAAAAAGATAAAGGTGAATTTTCAGGGACTGTAAATTTAATGTGAGAACGAATCTACCTAATTTGGCAAGTAATTTGTAATGTGACAATTTTAACTTTTTATGAAATATGCAGTAAGGTTCTGATAATAAATTCTTTATTAACTACCGTAATAGGTTATTTTTTTGTCAGTGTTGTAGCAAGGCAGAAATGTAGGAACAAGTAGGTACTTCCACAGATGATGTGATTTTTTTGCTGATGTTTTCATCATCAATTTCTGATGTTGTTTTAGTATTTTGGAAGCATTTTATAGAACTATTTCAAATATTTCTCATTAACAGGGTTTGAAAACGACGTCACCTATTCTAGCCGGTAAGTGATGGAAAAGATTCTAAAGATTTTTTTTTTTTTTTTTCCCCAAATACATTTTTTTCTCCTGAACAAAAATTTGCCTGAACTTGGCTTTTGCTTTGAAAATATCTAAGTATGTTGTCGAAATACTGGCGTTTTGAAAAGGCCTTCTGTTTTTAAAGCTTCTAAGGTTTTCTGACGAAACAAGTTACAAGTCTTAATTTAAAAATGAATGTTAAACTTGGGTGTGCTAAAATAATGAAGACAAAAAATACTGAATTTAAATGTGTATTATAACAATATTTTTTTAGTTTAATTAAAACCTTCCCATGTTACTGCAATAGAAATTGTAAAAGTTGTGAATTAATTTCTTTGATTTCATAAAAGCAGGAGTAAACCTGAAATAAGCTCAGCAGTGACACGTGTGTGTACGTTTTGGATATGTATGTATGTGTGTTGCGTGTTTAACCAGTCTTTTAATTTCTGATCTTCTGAAAAGCTTCAGTAGGAAGTCTTAGTCCTGTCACCTGGTGTTTAACTTTGCAGCAGCCTGCTTCAGCTGTAAGCAGGTGTCTGCCGTGTATCTTCTGCGTATGCCTGGATGGGCTTGTCCCGCCCATTTGGAGCTGTGTGTGACGGACCTGGTCGATTTTTAAAAATGTTAGCTTTCAGAAATATTACAGGTTTGCTAATAGGGTGATTATACAAGTAATGCTACACAGAGTTACCTAGCATGTCTTTTGAAGCACCTTTAGTTTGGAAAGAACATAAACAGATGCGTTTACATTGATGTATTAAATGGTACTGTGACCTCTTGCTATAAATAGGTGCTACCTGGGAATTTAAGTATCCATCTGAATTTTAAAAAAAAATTTGCATATTAGGCAAACAGGAACGTGTCACTGTTATTGAACATCTGCTTCATAATCACCTCTGAAGTATGGGTTTTAAGAAATGAGAAATTGGCTTTTAAATCCTCATTTTTGAAAATATTTGATGCAAGTTGTGTTCTGGACTGAGCTGTACTTAAAAATAGCATTCGCATAGTGCTGACTAAATGAGTGTTACACTAAGAGGGGGGGTGTGTGTTTTCCAGATCATCTTGAAAGAAGCAACAAAACACCAACTGACATTTTACCTCAGATTTCTTTTTCTGGTTCCACGGATAGAAGAGGTCAAATTTCAGAAAGTCCTGCAGAAGTAACAGATATCGGTAATTACAACTCATTCAAAACATGATCACTGGGTGATTTAAAGAGAAGACTCATTAACAGTACTAGTTTGGAATGCTGCTACTACTGTCTCCCTCTGACTTGCTGAGGTGCAGAACCCAGCCAAAGAAGCCTGGCTTGTCTCTTCAGCAGTGCTGAAAGAGCTTTTCCCAGAATGAGCGGTTCGGTCATTCTTCACTTTGTTTTTAAGAGGGTGTGAGATATAGAATCAGTCAAATGGGATATAATTTCTGTAGAGCACTGAAAACTTTCAGAAATAACACCTGACAAAACTGGTTTGGTATGCACAGAAGGGGAAAAAGTGGATAAATTATAACAAAGGCTGTAATACCGTATTTACTTAAGTACTTCTTAAGTGAGGTTTAAACAATGAACTGTAATTATATACGGTTCTTCATGTTTGGGTTTCCTGTGGCCGTAGTGCCTTTAGAACCCCTCATAGTACAAAGTCGTTTTCTAGCCCCAAGAATCAACCTCCTCCGTAAGCCCTGCTGGGCTCTTACAGGGATCCTTCAGACTGCTGCCGGTTTGTGAGGCTGCGCTGCCCGAGCAGGCAGCAGTATTAAATACCTTTCTTTCCTTAGGCTTTGGTAACCGCTGTGGAAAGCCCAGAGGACCACGAGAGCCACCTTCAGAATGGACATGATCCAAGAACCAATGGACATCCTGTCAATAAATTATACTGGAAAACTCAAGTGCCACTGAGAACTAGAAAAATAGTATTCCACTTTTCCAGGGGGCGACTAACACAGAGCAGTGTAGATCTAGCTACCAAATGGTACACTCTTCCAGTGCATCCCACGCAAAACCTTAAACATTGTTCACCGCAGTGGATTCCAGTATTACAACTTAACTTTTTGCTGGGGCCATCTACCTGCCTTACTACACTTAGGAGAAAGTATTACATATGATTTATTTTGTAACTTCAAGTATTATTGCCTTAATGTCTTTTAACCCTGTTACACGCTGCTTGTAGACATATGTTAATATAGTAATACTTTTGACAGATTGTGTTTATGGACTACTTTTTGCTAACGTTTGATTACCATGTATGCATTATTTTGTATATGTACAGGGCAAGTAAGTATATAATTTGATAAAGTTGCAATCATAAAATATTAACAGAAGATGTAAGAAATCTCTGCATGATCTAAATTTTTGTGTACCTTGTTTGTAAATTATTTGCCCTGAAGTTTTAGAAAATAGTTTCTGGGGTTTTTTACAAAAATTGCTGGACACACACAGCTAGAATTGCAGGTTAGCAGAGATAAAGATTGTAATACATTTTGTAAATTGTAAGCAAAAGGTTATTTTTATATTATATACTGTTTAATTGTCAGACCTAATTTGTTCTGGTTTTCATCTAGTCATGGAGATTCAGTAAGTGCCTTGGAACAGTATTGAATTCTCTTAGCCTGTGTATGTTACTTCAGTGTTTTGAGTTCATCTGGAATTAGATTATCAAAAATATTTGTACGTTTCTAGTATATTTGACCTGCCAGTAAAAGATAAACCATTCTACGTAATCAACACTCCTTAGTTTTCATTTTAATGTTTCATCAGTTGCAATCTTTAGAAAATTCATCTCTATCAACTTTCTGTATAATAGGATTTTACAGTTTTAATATGACGTGTTTCTAATTTGGGAAAACCAGAACACCCTGGTAAAAGGACTGTTTGGATACCACTGTCTTCTCTCACAGATGGTGAATACCATTTTTGTTGTGCAGCGACTGTGTATGTAAGAAAGCAACTTATATGAAGGTTCACATAGAGCCCTTGCAGCTACACTGTATCTTGGCAATGTATCATGTCAAGAGTTAATCCTTATAAGGATTCCTTACTTAAACTTTTCTGTAATACAATCTTTAAATTAAAGAAAGTCAAAATCTCCAAAATCTCACTATGGGTGTTTTTACTCTTGGGAATAAACTGTGTGCAGAAGCAAATACTAAAAGAGTGACGGGTGGCAGTCTGGCGTAGCTTATAGATCTCCTACTTGATCAAAATAGCGACCTTCAGGACCTTACTTTTAGTAGCTGCCTTAGAACTTCTGGCCAGCAATAATGCCAGAGAAGTGCAGAAGAACATTCAGAGGAAAAAACCATTTATTTTAGGTAGTGGAACTATCTATTAATCTGAACTTTAGCCATGGAAACATTGTCTGATTTACTACTTGTGCCTTTAGGGCCTCTCTGCTAAGAGCAAGGCAGTGCCCAGGTGGCAGCCCCTGATACCTCCCGGAAGGTACGTAACTTGCAGTTACTGTCTTTGGCTGTGCCTTTGGCGCTCGTGGCAGACTGCCGAGCTGGGCAGCTCTTTCAAAGAACTGTACACGCTGTAAATCCTTAACTTCCCAGGGATATAGTCTCCCAATTATTTGTTGAAAAATAAATAATTTAACAACACGTGCCATTTGGGATAACCTGTATCAACTAGATTCCTGCTTTGTAAACGGGGCAGGTGGAGTGTCTTGCAGTTGGCCGAATAAAGTTGGCCTGAACTTTGTTCCCCTTCCCCTGCGCCGAAGAGGATTAGCTTCGACTTTCACTCCTACGGACCGGACCTCCTGCGGTTCGGTAACGCCTGACAGGCTGTCATCGCCACCGGACAGTCCAAATCCCTGTAACTTTTTGAAACAACTATTAAATTAGAAAATTTCCAAATGTGTTTTGGATGTACTTTTTAAGGATTGTTTCCATATTTCCCTACCAAGAAAATACAGAACTTTGCAGATCGTGGATTTTCGGCTTTCTACATTTGAGTTTCACTTGGAGCAAAGGCTGACAAAAATCTCTGCACTCTGTACAGGCCATCTGGCAATGTTTAATTAAAGTACATCCAGGTTCGTATTTTTTCCTTTAGATTTGCATGGGTTTGGATGCTATTCCAGCTAAGTTCATCACAGAAGGTTCTCAGCCTGTCTTTGCTTTAGCGATATGAAACTGCAGGTGTCCTGCGTGGATTTATGTATCCTTTGACAGGCCTGTTTTACAACTCACTGTTGCCTGCTTACATACATGAGTGTTACATTTTCATCGATTTCAGGTAAACTGACAGTTTTAAGTGTAAGTGCAAGGTAGAACCTGCCCGATGTCATCACTTTCTGTATCCGCTCTTGTGGCTGGTACAGAGGTAAGCGCAGGATTGGGTGCTGGGTGCTGGATAGCTTCACATCAAAACTTTGAAATGTTATCCAGTCTTAGTAGCTTCTTAACAAGACCTTTCTTTGCTGTGGTGTATTTGAAATTGAATCTAAAGGGGTTTAGAATATTACATTAGTTTGCAGATTATCACTGAATACAGATCTAGACCAAGTCATTTTATAAATACAGTGAAATGAACTCTGGAATAATCTTACCTTTTGATTAGCTCCAGTCTTCCACGTTATTTTTTCTGAAAGCAAGTCTTCAGCTTCAGTCTCTGGAGTGCAGCTTTGATCAGGCATACAATTGCCTTGATCCCTACAGCAAAGAACCAGTAGCACTACTCAACCCACTATTCTTATTAACCACTGTTTTGTCTTGTTTGCTCCTTCACTACTTTTCTAGTGTTCCATTTATTAGATTTTCTAAATGTATTCACGTTGAACAAATCATGCAGTAAATTATCACAGGAGAAGAATGAGTTCTCCATGTTTTAGAAATGTAAAAACTCAAGTCTCAGATGAAAACTGACCTCTACTAATGTCATTGCTTATCTCTGTAATGGAGCATATTTTAGGTTTGGTATGAATTTGGCAGGTAGCTTTCTACTTTTTAGTGACTAGAACATTACTTTAGCATTTTTATTTCTTCTGTATTTGTTGGGAAAGCCTGCTGCATTTACATGTAATTTTCCTTAAAGAAGTTTGTAACTGGGGAACTGTGCAGAACAATGAGAAAAATCTCAATTACCTCTGGGGTTTTGTATACTGAAATCTTGGATTGGGTTTCTTTGGAGACAAATTTCTAAGAGAATGAATGCCGATCAAGTGCAACACAGTGAGTGTGCAGTGTGATTACCCCATGCTGCTGGAGCAGTTGCTTTTAGCTGTAGATCATCGTGTCTCTAAACAGAGCCTGCTGACAATTGAACACTTAAATATTTGCATTTGAGGATTAAATTGTGTGTTTCAGGTTGTAATTCCCCCCGTGCCACATAGCACTTGGTATGGAGTGTGGTGAGTTACGCTTTAATATATAGTAAGTACAAATTCCGTGATTCTAATGGAGTAACGTTACCACTGCTGGTTCATTTCCAGGTTACTTGGCACAATAAGGTATCTCATCTATTTCATTGTGCTTTTCACATACCTGGTAATACTGTACTGGCGGTGACAAGAGGCTCCTCCTGCGTTGTCTGGTGGATGTGGAAGAGTTGTACAGCAGTTAAACCCATCAAAGTTGAGCAGAGGCTGTGGGCTGCAAAGGAGGAGTGTCTTAGAGCATCTGCTCTTCGGTGTACCTGAGGATTGAGAAGATGGTTGTAAGGAGGGTGGTCGAGAGGATGGTTGTGAGGCAAGTTGAAATCAGGGAAGCTCCGTGTAGCCTGGACACTTCTGAGACTCTCTGGCTTAGTGCCTGCAGACCACCCACGATGCAGCTGTAGCCGTTGATAATTTATTCAACTCCTGTTTAACGTGTCTGCTTAATGTAAGATGGTTAAGGTGTTCCGATGACGATCAGCCAGAACAATTATGATTGTTGAAACAAGGGAATAACCTTTTAAAAAGCGAAGATTATGAGTGGCATCCAGAGGAAAAAAAACATATAAAAATTGCTTTTTCATTATTATTATTTGCCATCTGAAAATATTATTTCCACTGCTAGATCACAGAAGGAATGAGAGCTAAGCCTTTGACTTCCTGGCTGGAAGGAGGGAATGGATTGTCAGCCTTGAGCAGGTGATAATCCTTGGACCATACAGAGCACATTGCAAACAAGACCTGTCCCAGTCTGATTTGGCAGTTCAGCTGGGTTAAGAAAAGCTTGCAAACACTGGCAAGGATATCCTAAGGTATCATGAATATATATATATACATACCTCCTGTAATAATACCCAGACATAAAGGCTTTTTTTGTTATTTTTGTCTGTGCTGATTTGTACTTACAGGAGGGGAATAAAAAAGTAAAGAACCTAAAAAAAAAAATAATTTGAGTTTAGTAACTGACCTGCTGGCTTTCAGAGTGCCGGAGTGAAAGGGTTTATGTGTCGCAAAGGCAGCAGGAGCAGTAGTAAGGGTGGAAAAAGAAGAATATCTCTCTGATGTAGTCAGAGTAGTTGGATGATGCTTCTGAGTAGGAAGGACAGAAAGCCAGGACCACTGCCCGTGAGGTGCGTTCAGGAGGGAACACAAGGGCTACTAAAGATCAGTTTTAACCTTAAAAAAAAAAAATAGTTTGAACAAGTCGCAGTAAGTAGTTATGAATACAAACTGGTCTTGTAATCCGGCAAGTTACATGAAGTGGAGGAACTTGAGTTTTAACACCGAAAATTTCCATGGTGTATCTCACCCAGAGGCAAACCAGTGTCTTTTAGGCAATAATAAATGCGCAGCTACAACTGGATTTGTTGCAGTCAGACTGAATTCATCTGACTGGTTGAGTAACTATGTGTTTATGTTGATAGATTTAACTGAAAGTATTTTCTTCCTCCTCTCCCGTAATAGGAGTATTTGCAGATCAATAGAACTGCTAACAACCGTACCTCTTGAGCATACAGTGCCTGACGGAATAGTCACCTGATTTACTGACCCTGTTAACAGCAGCTTGTGAAGCAAAGTAGCCCCGTCATCTTGTCCAAGAGGTTGGTGATGTGGGCAGTCAGATTCGGCGTGTGGCATTGCTGGCTATCTGCCAGAGCAGTATCTTTTTCTCCAGTAGTTGTCTTGATTTTAGTTGTTTGGTACTCTGCTGTGCCAAATTTTATTTTGACTAAACCTTGCATCTGCATTTGTGTATTCTCTTCCTTTTGGCCACCTTGGTACTGTATCTTTGTGGCCAGGTCAGTATCTGTTATTCAGGCAGATGTAACGCCTGATGTGATGGGTGAGAATGGACCACATTCAACAGTGCGAGTGCTTTCTTCTACTCAAATCTTAGCTCACAGCCTTTGCCATTAAGAAACAATCCCACATGGGGTGCTTCCTTCCACTGGCCTCGTAGGCCAGATCACTAGGTTGTAATTGGTATGGGAGCATGACGGACTTTTGGGCATTTGACATTTAGGTCATGGTGAGAATCTAGTGTGGTTTGTGCATTGTATAACATCAAGGCAGCAGAGAAATAATATGACACAAGTTTAAATAGAAAACTGACACTCTATATCCTAACAGCATTTGTTTTACCCTCTTCCCCCCCCCCCACATTATTTCTCACTTATGCAGCTCTAAACTGGAGAGAGCAGAGATAGCCTACTCCTAAAGAAAGTTTAAGTACAAAGTGTAAATACTGGAAACGATCTTATCTTCATGTTTTTCAGGGCATCAGGTTACCTAAAAATGAATTTCTTTAGCTTTGCAGGAGCTTGTGGGCTGAGACATTATGTATGAATCCTAGGTAGGAAGAGAGCTGATGGAAAGCTGCATACTTTTCCCAAAGCAACTGGTTTTGGTTTGAACACGCTTCTTTTTTTTGGGTGGGATGTAAATGTGGGCTGATTTAACTTCAGTCTGCTGTTTCTCATCTGCATTATGATATCAAGTATATCTGGCAAAACA